GGGAATAATTGTAAATTTCTTTTTTGTCAACGAATGTCATATATTTTTGAATAATGCAGAGCAACTTGTTTAGTGCTTATGTTAAAGATTTAAAACATTCGGACTTGTGTACCATTTCTCTTTGAACTTTAAAATTGATCATTGTCCATTTACCTCTTAGACATACATTTTCAGGTTCCCAAAGTTATAATGGAAATTGACTTTAGTAGTGGACTTCGACAAATTAGACGTTATATACAGAGAATAGTAATTTTGTTTTTGCAAACACATGACTTGATTTTAACTGTTCAAATGTGGTTTTATGTATTTACAATAAGAGATTTTCCCCTTAGTTTTCTTACTACAGTTATCTATTTCATATATTTTTTCCAAATAAATCACACTACCATTTTGAAATAAACACTTTGAAAACATTATATTTTAGTCATTCCTTTATAGACACTTTGCCAGATTATGTTTAAACAATGTGATAAACAGTGTAAGACAAATTTACTTTATGCAAACATGAATGTGAGTTTATTTGTGCATACATGAATGTGAGTTTATTTTACTCAGGTGCAAACGGTTAAGAGCGCAATTATTGATTTACCTTACCTTATATATTCACTAAAAGTTGACATTTTGATAGAATGAATATATTTAAAACATAATATATTGAAGCAACATGATCTATATACTCAAAGTTACAACTACATATGCATAAATAAAAGCATGCAAAATATATGACAGTATTAATAGTTAAATGTAAAGCATAAAAAGAGCCTTTTTCATCTTGTGCATGTACTGTTGTGTTTTCTTCGTATAGAAGACCAGCATTTAAGTAAACGTTGATTCCAAGTTCAAACACCTAGGTGTTGTATGATATCTGATTGCAACCATTCACTGCAAGAGGAGGATGGATAATATGAGAAACCTGTGGTGAATAAGATAATGGCTAAGATTTTAAAGTATATTTATAGATAGAGGGGCACCGCTTGAAACAGTCAGCACAGCAGTTGATTTTATTTTCATATTTTATCACCACACAAATAACTTGCTACCTGATTTAATTTGCTTTGTTGTAAAGTTGAATAAGTTTCGCCCATTGTTTTTCTCATTTACGGCACACTCATTCTTCTAATTGGGCACCATACATCAGTTAACATGATCCACCGCTATACGATCACAACGGCTAATGTTGAATTCTGCTGAACGGTAGCTTGCAATTTCAAGTACCGTTTATGAATCCAGCATGAAAAGATTTGACAAATACATGAATATACGACCTATGACACCTATAATTCTATATCATTTAGAGGGACTCCATGGTACTCCTTATAAATATTTTTTTCGTATTTTTATTGTTGAAGTGACATTTTCATTATCGAACTGTCCGTCCGAGTATCATGTTTTTGATTGATTTATAAAAGACAAAATGTCGTTAAATAGGGGGAACAGAATCACTAAAGAACGCATAAAACGAGAAAATTGAAATTTTTACAGGCTCGTTTGGATTCAGCATATTCATGGACAGTACTGGAAAGTGCAACCTACTATCCACGCCTCCTAGCACCGGCTTTTAAAATATGTATGTACTCGGACGTACGTCCTTCGATGAATAGTTTTCTTTCATTATATATGTATAAAATGTATATAATAATCTATTAATATGTTATTCAAATGTCACATTATTTCATGTATGTAAGTATGTATGTATCTATGTATCGATGAATTGTAAATGTTCAAGTTAAACAAATAAATTTTCTGTTCTGTTCTTTTCTTTTTGACTTGTTGGTCTTTGTTTGTTTTCTTGGAAACTACTAGTGCAATGCCTAGAGCAACGATATTTGACCTGAAGCATCACCTTGTGGTCCTGTACAGTAATATATATCATGAATGCCCCTGGGGTATAAATTGGCCCCGCCACTGTGGTAACTGAGTTTATAAAGGCTTATATAGGAAATTATATTTAAATTTCCTTTTGTAAAACTGCATTGCCAAGAGATTAGATCAAGGCATTTGCATTGCAATATAGACAGACCTAAAAAAAGTAATAAAAGTCACGACGCTTGGGTCAAAAACGGCCGGGTCCTAAGGATACTTAGTTTTTACATACTTAAATGACCAAGATTGGTCCCGCCTCTAAGGCTACTTAGTTTCCGTTGACTAATAGAGGAAAGCACTTAAAATACAGAGAATTATAATCCTAAAAGAAAATCCACAAGGAAGGGTAGCATTCAAAGAACGCATCCCCAAAATAACCTTAAAACACAGCAAGGACCCTAACAAGACACCAAACATAAAGTTTATGTTAAGTGTGTTTGGTTCAGAGGGATATCATTTGTTTTTATTAGTCATATATCTTTTTATAAGAAAGAGAAACTTATTTGAGGATTGTTACAGACAATAAATTAGTGTTGACAGATGTGTAAATATTCAAATAACGCCTTGGAAATTGGAAACATGGAATTGTTGAAAGGCTTTCTTACGAATGCTGGGTTGTTTACTTATCCTTCGGGCTGATGACTGCCGTTGCTTTTCAAGTTTTCATATAGCATTAGGCATATATTGCTCGTAGTATGCTTAAATATGCCCAAATGTCATCAAGAGCAGTTTCGTATGCGGAAGGAATTGTACTTTTCCAACTGTAAAAACGAAACAAAAAATTTAGAGTCGATATTAATTTTGTTATTGGTAATTTGAATGAATTGGAGTATGCTTTCTTAGTTTTATTCCTTTTGAATTTCAAATTATTTATCAAGTTTATCTATGCGTTTCTCTAAACAGTCCTGACAATGTCAGAGTTGACATCAAAAATAAAATTGAGGTACCACATGGGGAAAAACTTAAAAAAGAGTTTAATCAAAAGTATAAAATAATATTTTGATAATTTTCACTGTGATAATATCAGATATACTTTTCACAGGCAATCGATAATCCACTGAAAAGCATAAAATAAACTTTTTTAGAAGATTTTGTAAATTTTTATTTCATAATACCCTGTGAATTTTTTGATAAACAAAGTGAGAAACATTAAGACATATTTTATCTGTATGAAATCTGTACTAACGCTGTTATAGGTAAGATTTTATTATTTTTATGGCACAAACTATTCCCAATTTACGAAACATTGGTGAAATCATTAAAGTATAAATAGAGCAATGTTTGACAGTATATACCGGTGGATAAAAGAGCTTATTAAAATTACTATTTACAAATCTTAAGTTCTGTTAGAACTTGTTTTATTATACTGATAAAATTGCACAGTTAAAGGTACATCTTTTTTTATTATATTGGTGAAATTGCACGATTTAATCGTGTGATTACAAATTATAGCTGGTTTTAACCTTTTTTAAATCATTTCTTTACAGAACAAAAGCAGCAAGGGAGCACTAATAAAATCTGTTTCATGACATGTTATTTGCCACATTGGATTTTTGTGGGGTTTTATGTGGTCTGCGTTCAATAACATCGGTTTTTTTTTTTTTTTTTTTTTTTTTTTTTTTTTGTATAAGTTAACATAATTCATTAAATGATTATCAGGATATCAGGAAGATTAAAGCAACTTTTCTGAACCATTTGTCATATATTGGAATACAAGTAAACTTACTCGAAGGAATTACGTACGAGATCATACAGTTTCAGTCGGTGCTAGGAGGCGTGGATAGTAGCTTGCACTTTCCAGTACTGTCCATGAACAGGCTCAATCCAAACGAGCCTGCAACATTTTCAATTTTATTTTCTTGTTTTGTGCGTTCTTTAGTGATTCTGTTTCATCTACATTTTACGATACTTTATCTTTTATAAATTAATGAGAAACATGATACACGGACGAACAGTTCTCACTTCAACAAACTTCGTCATAACAAATACGAAAAAGCAATAATTATATTTAAATGGAGTTCTATGGAGTCCCTCTAAATGATATAGAAATATATGTGTCATAGGTCGTATAATCATGTATTTGTCAAATCTTTTAAAGCGTTGGTAACCTATATTTGTTATCAAAAAGTTAGTTTAGAATAAACCTCTTGTGAACAGTTTGTATTGAAGGAGACGACCATGCAATATTTGATCCTATTCTGTAATGTATAAATGTTTTATTACTTCAATTTTTCATTGACAGAATATTGTTTTAATACTATAGCTGTGACAGTATTGTCCGTGCTTTATTAAATGCTTACTTTTCTTAAACATGACTTGAATGCCGTTTTTTTTTTTTTTTTTTTTGGCGTTCTTTAGGGATTTTTTTTTCTTTTTTTATGGTCACATTAGTGTTATTTGTGTCAAATGGCGGCCGCAAAAAGGCAGCCGTACATATAATCAAAGATGTTATGTCTTCCATAAAGAACGTTCAGCACGACATTATTGTTATTTGTGCATGTGTGCGGTACTTTTAGTTCCTCAAATGTTATTTTTTCCTAGTGTGTCCAGTATTCCTACTACTGGAACACTATATAATCACCATAAGGATATGGACATGCTTTTAATAATTTGTCTTTTGACGCCTTTAATGTGATATGCAGGCTTCATAATCACTAATCCCCTTTCGAAATTACATTTTGTTTAGTTTCGTCCATTGTTTTTTCGTAAAGGGAGGGCACCAGCATTCTACGTTAGTCGCTTGTGTATGGAATGGCACTATTGTGTCATATTGAAGGGTCGGTCCATAACGACCGTTTTATGATCACAACCGTGTATGTATCCAAATTCAACATGTCACCATTTTTCATATTCAAATGTTGATTTCTCCTTTAGTCGGTAATTTGCACTTTCTAGTGCCGTCCCTGAACAGGCTCAATCAAACCGATCTAGCAACATTTTCAACTTACTTTAAGGATTCTGATTTTTCTATTTTGAAGAAAAGTATCTGCGGAGCGTTCTTGAATAATCCGTTTTAATGTTACTAAGAATATAGAAAAATATTATTGCACGTCAATCAGTGTTGATATATAGGCCCTAGTGTGATATATATTAATATGCGACCATTATTCAATTTAATAAGAACCATTAAATGAGTAATGAAAACTGTTGATCTTGGTTTGTCTGTAGGGTGTTGTTGTTCCTGTTGCTGTTGTTGTTGCTGCTGCTGCTGTTGTTGTTGAACAAGATAGCATATATTCCGTTATTCTTCTCAAGCGCAAACTCATAACACACAACAAAGAGATCTTTCATTCCTCTAACATCTAACATCTTAATTTAGTAAAGTTTGCAAATTTTCTAGACAAAATAGAGAAATACAGACTCCCTAAAGAATGCCCAAAAATGCAAGACTGAAAATATTTCATGCTGGATTTATGAACGGTACTGGAAATTGTAAGCTACCGTCCCCTAGCACCGACTTGAGCAGAATTAAACATTTACGAATAAAAAGGGTGAAATGTTTAACTTTGTCATCTGCCGATGTGTTCGTATGGCGGTGAAACGTGTAAGTAAACTGATGTATGGTGCGCAATTAAAAGAATGAGTGTGCCCTAAATGAGAAAACAATGGGCGAAAAAACTTTACAACAAACCAGATTAAACGAGGTTGCAAGTTATATGTGTGGTGATAATAAATATCTATAAAATATAGAAATAAGATCAACTGCTGTGCTGCCTATTTCAAGCGGTGCCACTCTGTCTATAAATATACAATATTTTCTAATTCTGCTTTCAGGGTTATACAGTTTGTCGGCACTAGTTGGTGTGCAGGGAGCCGGGAATTCTTGTGAAGATATTGATCCAGTAGCATGCTCTAGCATGGCCAAACAAAATGTAAACTTGTGTGCGGAACCCGTACTTTCACAGTCAGCTTGTCCAAAGTTTTGTGGCAAATGTCGTAAGAAAAAAAGCTTTGATTACTAATTATAAGTGCAGGATAAAATAAATATATTTGTGTGTCATTGTGAATGGAAAATAATATAATAAGCAGTTTGTGCTTTATACAATGTTTTATTGTTTGAAAGCGATTTCTGAAAAAAAAGGTATTTGTTTTCGGTTTTTCAACTTTTCGCCCTGGCACATAATCAAATCATCTTTATTTATGTACTACTGTGTTCACAAATAACTGTTACATACAAATAATATATATTTATATACGGCTGTATACACAAATGTATGTACAAAAAAACATCTATATTTACGTATGATTATGTCTATGCTACTGTATGCACAAATATCTGGTATATATACATTTTTTTTTACATACGACTGTATTCGCAATTATAAGGTTAATACAAATCATTATTATATACTTATAAATGAAATATTGAGAACTTTTGAAGAAATAAAATGCGTCTTTTCATTTTCCGTATTTTTACAGTAAAATAGAGGTACACATTTTCCGTACTTTCACTGGTGTCTTTCTGGACTACTTTCTTCTAAATTAAGCCAATACAAAAAATAAAAGGGAGAGTTTTTCAAACTGTAATGTCAAAAGGAGAAAAATGCATATAATAAAAAGAAAAATCATGTTTTTCTGTTTTTTTTCTGTAATTCTATAATTACATGTATACAAAAACATGAATATCCTCTTATTATTGTTTTACACTGGCTCTTGTTGCTGGATTGTGTGTGGGTTGCGTTCATTGAACGCTGCCTTTCCTTATCATATTACACACTACTACTGTTTTCATGATATTTACTTACTATATTAGGGAGCTTAAAATAAAGTTATAATTTCATGAAATTACGCTTGGCGATAAGAAAAAAGAAAAAGTGTTACGAGAAACAAGTCATGAAAACATTTATATTGAAGAAATTTCTGTTTTTATAGCAACGACCTGCTACAACTGCAAAATAACTACTACCGACGTGAGCTCGTGTAATACAGTCACGTGTGACAAGAACACGGTAATTCAAGTGGCACATTATTTTGTTTAATTTTGAACATCATCTCTGAAGTATTGATTTTTGCACATTGACCGTCTCAAAGCTGTTTGTGTGGTTTCCAACGATGTATGTCTTTATTGTTGTTAATTGTGGAGACTCATTTCGTATGCCCTAGTTTATCTATCGCCAATAGTAAGTCTCCTTTTCCCCAATTTTTACAGTTACCAATTATTGAAATTGTGCAAAATCACCCAAATGGAAATGTAATAGAAAGAGGTCAGGTTAACCTTGATTTTGAATTATCTGCCCTTAATTCTTTTTTTTTAATTCAAAGCTGTAAAAAGGTCGGATACGTCTTTCTTAAACTGGTCTGTTGGACGAGTCTGCGTGTAAGAGGCTTATAAAACCAGAATTGTTCTCAATATTAATTAATAATAACCTTTTTTCAAACAATCATTTTTGACAGAACTATGTAACAATATGGATTTTGAATCTTGAGATATCAAACATGACACATAGGCTAAAAGGAGTACGATAAAGTTTGGTATAGATTAAATACATTTTAAGATGAAAACGAGGCTATATGAAAAACAATATGCTTTTTATATAGATTTTTTACTCTGGAAATGAAAATGAGAACAATTGATTGTTTGGATTATGATTTATACTGTAATAACATGTGGTGCAAAAGTTGAAAAATCATGGGTTATCATTTTCAATGAGCAAAATAAGAGCTTCTAACAAACAATATGTATTTTGAAGAACAAGGCTATTTGAAGTATTGTTCTAATGTGTTGATTTTTCAAGATGTGTTTGGTAGAAATGAGGAAAATGACAAGAACTGGACAAATTAAATACAGTCTTGGGTGTGCAACAGAACATGTAAGTTTGTTGTTTTTTCTTTACTTTTAGTAATTGATATTCTTTGAAATAGAAAGAAATGTTAAACTGATATATCAAAAGAAATGGATTGACGTAAGATATATCAAAAGAAATGGATTGACGTAAAAACAAACGCCAGTTACAATGGTAATTTTGCAACTATACGAAAAAGAAACATTTTTTCTACCTTTTAATCTAGATTATACTTAAAGTGAATATACTAACAATTATGCAAGAATTGTTATTTTCGACTACTTAAAACAAGTGGAGATATAGTTTTCATGTTTTTCTCTTATTTTTATTTCATTACAAATACCCTAACATCCTGTTGTTATTGAAATGGTATTTTCCATGGATTGCTTCCGTAAAAAGTCGAAAGTTTCTGAATAAAATGTAGCTTATGTTTTTGTTCTTGTTGTTGTTAGGTAGTTCTGCCATTCTCATTCTAACAGTTTTGTGATAATGGTGTGAAAAGGGAGTTAGATTCAAGATCTCTGACGATTGACTGTTGTGATAAAGATTTGTGTAACGTTCCTTTAACCACGACTTTAGCATCAACAAAACAAACAACCACAGCTCCAACATCGACTGCCACAACAACAACAGCTCAAACAACAGCTAAAGCAACTGCTGCGCCAACAGGTATATCGGAACAACTTAAGTTACAATTACGAACATAAGAGAAAATGAACAACCAAAATAAAGAGATACTAACAATTATCTATCTATTCTTTTAGAACGTATGTTTTTGAAGTTCGAATAAAAAACTATAATCTTTGACTGTTATAGTGATAAAATTTGCGTAAAATTATTCAGCTTTTAAACTTCAATAAAAGGGCAGGCAAAATCGGATTTTGACTTACTAGTCAGTTTTTCTCTTAAGCATTTCTTAACTTGTCCGTATAACATCTTTATAGTAAATTCTTGAAAAAACAATTATTGTCCATACCAGCTGTGGATTACGGACAATTGATTTTGCTGCCCCTGAAGAAGTGTTGTTTACCTTTATATACTATGTTATGTTTACAGTTTTTCAATGTAATAGAATGTGTCTTTTACAGTTACATACTATGTTTACGTGAAATTTTGGAATACCCAGAAAATAACATTAATTGGAGGAACCAAAACAGTTGCTTACTTGTTATCGATATATAAAGGTAATAAATAAGCTTACCAATAATTAAAGTAATAAATAAAAGTATGTGGGAAAACATATACAAAATCCGAATTATTCTATTTTAGCCAATCCGTGCATAAATCGCCCGTGCCACAATGGTATCTGTTTGAGTTCAAACGGAGCATTTTTCTGTAGGTGCAATAGTGGCTATACTGGACATCTATGTGACGTTGGTAAGTTATTACGTAAGAATTATGTACTATATGGTGAGAAAAAAATGCTTCTTTTTATTGTCAACAGAATTTCATTGTAAAAGAATCTGCGATATCAATTCATTTTGTTCGTTTACAACACTATCAGAGGGATTCTTTTAACGTCTTATCTGTGATATACAGGCTTCATAACCTCTGATCCCCTTTCAAAATTCCATTTTATTTAGTTCCGCCCTTTGTTTTATCGTTTAGGGCACACGTATTTGTTCACTTTGGGATCATATGCCGCTTTTCATGGAATGGCACTTACGTGTCACATTGAACCGCCATATGAACACATCTGCTGATTTTCAAAATTGTACCAGTTCATGTTAAATGTTGAATGTTGCTTAAGCCGGTTCTAGGGGGGCGTGGACGGTAACTTGTACTTTCCAGAAAGTACAGTCCATGAACGGGCTCAATCAAACCGAGCCTGCAACATTTTCAATTTTGCCGTGTTGAGATTTCTTTAAGGATTCTTATGTTCTCTATTCTTTAATTATACCTATGACATTTCTTGAATTCATGTATATTAAGATAAAGCAGATGTAAAAAGGTGTAAGATCTTGTATCAATGTCAAATTTTCAATTGTCTATTTTAATTTCAAATTTGTGTATTAAATTTTTATTGTAAAATATTTTCAACATATGCCTTATTTTTTATTCCGCTTTGTTTTCGGTAGCTCGATAACATTTAGCAATATTCGTCAATTTCCTTAACTTACATAAATAAATCATACATAAGGTTAATTTTAGTTAAGTACAGTGTAATGTAGAGTTTAGTTTAGTTAAGTTTAATTTAGTTTAGTTAATATATGCTAGACTAATATATGCTAATCAAATCTACGGTTTAATGGACTGTGTTCCCTTGCTCGTCTTTGGATACACCAATACAGATAAGTTAAAAACATTGATGATTGAATATTGATACAAACAATGATGTAGGATTGCGAAACTATTGTACTAGTTTAACAAGTTCAATATGTTGTTTTGTTTTAATACTGCACCATATGTTTTTCTTTCAGCTCTTAACTCTTGTTATAATAACACTTGTGTACATGGCACCTGCACACCGTATGGAGTACACTTCTTTTGTCGTTGCCAACAAGGATGGGCCGGTACAACTTGCAATTCACGTAAGAATACATGTATATAGCAGTTTATAATATTTTAGACGACATCACAGTATAAAGTTGTTTGTTATTATTAGCTGGAATTTGAAGAAAAGTGGGACTATTTTATTCACCTGGCGCTGGTGTCAGCGTCCGTGTAACACTTTGATTAAGTTTTACGTGCGTCGTCTAGTACAATTTCATGTCTCAGTAATGACTTAGTTCCTTTTTATTTCGCACACTTATTTAGAATAAGAGTAGAAGGTCACTTTCCGAAGCCAGTAACTTGACAGAATTATTACCCTTTGTTAACTTAGAAACTTATTTGTTACATTTTCCGTTAATGAAGGTAGTTACACTCAACTTCTAGTAAAATACATGTATATGTCTTTGTGACGATAAGTAGAAATCACTTTTTAAGCCCTACAGCCCTTAAATTATTACCCTTTGTAAACTCGGAAATTCCTGGTTAGTTTTGCAAACAATATCAATTTCAAAATTTCTGAATCATCACTATCCAAGGTACATTTTGTATATTACTTTAACGTGAATATTGACTGAATAATGACTTCTGTAAACTATAAGATTTCTTGGTCTTGGTAAAAGTGTTAATAATTTTCTTGAAAAGGATTTGCGATTCAACATCTTTAAATATTAATTACACTTAATTTGAACTAAATGAATGTCTTTGGGACCATAATTGAAGATTATTCCCCGAGATCCATGACCGGCTTAACTTTTGTTATGGTCATTAGGACTTTTATATGTTTCTACATGATCAATTTGGTGTTTTATTTATTTAACCTTTTGTAACCATAACAACTGTTAGAATTTCACTTCGCGAGGATTCATTTTATTTTCACTGTCTTGTGTATAGGAACATTGTGGGGCTATGAGTGAGGTTTGGTGCACCATTAACCGGTTTTTAACTCCCCATCAGTACTTTTGCTGCTGACCGTTCCAAGACAGGCGGCGCCCCTCTTTGTTCCTCAGATGTATGTCTATGTTGTTTCATACTGTTTTGATGACACTTTTGTTTGTTCCCGTGTTGTTTTTTCGTCTATGGTTAATATCTTCCCCTTTTGCCCCTAGTCTTATTTCTTTAATCTCCCTTCTCCGGGTCTCCTGTCCCTTTCCCCTGTGCCCTTTTATTTTGTGGGTTTATTATTCAATCTTGTATTTGTTTTCTTTGAATTTCTTATAAGTTACAAATTATTACCTTTTATTTAATCAATTATTTGTTTTCTTTGAATTCCTTATCAGTTTCAAATTATTTATATTTTTAGGGATTAACCTGTCCGTGCTTTTGTTATGGGTCCGTCTGGATTCATTGCCACTGGTTCTTGTTGCTGGGTCGTGTGGGGGTTGCGTTCATTGAACGCCACCTTTCCTTGTTGACCTTGTTTATCATATTTTTAACTGGTTGAGATAGACCATAAATCAACCATTGATTTTGAATGAAAACAAATACAGGCAAAGAGAACATTCACAAAATTCTTTGATCAATATTCAATACTCAGAAATATGTCATACATTTCAAATGAAATCTTTCTTTTTGTTTATTTCTTCATACTATCAAGCACTGACATTAGTCAAGCGCACTGTCTACTATTCCAGCTTTGGTATTGACAGACAACTTAATTTGTTTTACATGAATGGGAGTGGCGGAGGAAGGTAGTCTAGTACTGGTGTAACTCTCCAGGAACGATGGTTAGGAAACTACCCGCCTATATGACTGAAATCCTGTTGGGAATAGGCGTAAAATAATGAAACAAACAAACAAACAAACAAACATGAATGGGATTATATAGATTTTTTTATATATTTTAAGGAGTATCGCCAGTTACCTACATTCTTAAGATTGTTGATCAAAAGGTTCCTACCTTGAAAAATAATAATGTTTTCCATTTGATATACAAACAGAACTGTAACTGGAGGAGTGGGGCTTTTCATTTCAAGCGGTATAGCAAACCCTTTTTATACATCTTTCAAATTATCACAATATAAAATCTTTCAAAATGTTCTTCTAATAAAAATAAATCTCAGAATCTCTCCAAATACATCTACGACTTTGTAAGTTTTGATAAAGTATGTATTTTGAAAACCATAATTTTAGTTCAGTTATATCTTTCTTTCAAGGGGGCCATTGTGTTTCAAATCCTTGTGTACATGGATTCTGTATGAACAATTTCCAGCCGTATAAATGTATTTGTTCAACAGGATATATGGGGAATCGCTGTGATAGAGGTAGGTTTTTATTTCGGTCCCTGCTTAATTAGGGTGCATATTAAATATTGCTTTAGCCGGTGCTAGGGGGTATAACAGATGTTGCAACATTTATTATTACCAACGAATATGCCTTTATAATACAAAGTATTTTACAAGACACTTGAATCGGTAATATTGAAGATTGAATACCGCTTAAGCCGGTTCTTGAGGGGTTTAAGATTTTGCACCTTTTCATTTTTTTTCATAGTCAGACTCAATGTGCAATTTTATTATAAAATTGTTGTTCCAGATTTTAACGTAACCTTTTTTATTTCATTTGATTGTTCTTGTTTAATCTTTCCTTTCCCATATAGCTTTACTTTTCTGCCATATAAATTAGAAGATTCTATAAAGAAGATTATAATACATTTTATGCCCAGAAATATTCCATAGAAGCATACTATGATGTCGGTTTGTTTGTCCGTGTATATGTCCGTCTGCCCATCTGTAGACAACAAGTACGCACATCCTGCTATCATTATCGTATCATTAACTTGAGAAATAGAGAAACTAAAGAACGCCTGAAACGTCAAAATTGAAAATGTTTCAGGTTCGGTTTAAATGAGTCTGTTCATGGACGGTACTTGAACGTGCAAGTTACCTCTACGCCCCATAGCCACAGTTTAAGCACTTTTCAACATTAATCATGAAGTAAGTCTAGGTATATTTGGTGTGGTAGGAACATTGCCGATGGCCTGAAAAGAATCCCGATAGATTTTGAAGTCATTAGGTAAAAAGTCAAAGTCACAGTGCTACTTTGTGCCAACTAATTATCAGATTATTAATCTAAGAAGGAATAATCTTAGGTTGTAAAATTTATACATGCATGCCAATGGCCGATGGATGATCCTTTTTATCCTTAAGTCACAAGGTTGGACATCAAGGTCATAGTGACACTAATCTAAGTCAAACCAAAATTTTAGAAGGAATAAGCTATGGTTTATGAATCTTTGTAAAGAAACTGCTTATGACAAAAATATTACCCCAATTGAGTTTCAGGTCGTTAGATAAAGGTCAATGTCACAATGAGACTGTCTTTTATCTCTGCCTGCTGAAACAAAATATGTCAAAATTTGTTCATCGAGGTTGGAACATTTTCATTTTTCCGGGGCCGTATAAGTGTCCTATGGACATAATCTAGCTAAACATGTGTTGACTTACTCGCTATCTGATCTTATCAAATTAGATGTGGTTCTTGGCAAATCAGTTACCACTTCAACCTGTTAAATACATTTTTTTGAAAATAATTATTTTAATATCCTAATTTTCTTTACAGCAAACCATTGTACTTCTAATCCCTGTGTACATGGACACTGCACGAATAACTTGGTGACTTTTAAGTGTAGTTGTTCAGTCGGATATGTGGGAACTCACTGTGAGAAATGTACGTTGTACCCTACATTTTTCACTTTGTCTATAGACGTAACTTCTTTCTATATTTGTAGTCAAATTCAGGACATTTTTGTCCAGTAAGAGCAAGCTATTAAATATCGCCAATTTGGAAAAATTAAATTCTGTCTCTGTCTTGTTTTCATTTGGTATTTTACCTTAAATCACGTGACTAAGATTGTATTTTCATTTTCTTCTGGCCACTACATATATATCACATTAATTGCAAAGACATTTTTATATCCTCTGCATACAACATTGCCCCCAAAGCATTTCTTGTGACATTCCATCACTAACTACTTGACATTATTTTTCACTGTCTTTAAAGATCCTGTAATATAATTTTTTATGGTTTTATATCATAAATATAACGCTCAAATGAAAATTTATCAAAACAATGTATTATAAGTTCCAAAAAACATTATTTGTAAAGATATTACCGAATTTACATTTTCATGCTAATAAAGGGGGAGTAATAAGAAATTTTTTCTGTAAAGTTTGAGACAAATTATTCAATAAGAAATGAATGCATATATTTAAATGATTACATATAATGTTGACAAATATTTGCAGTACATTTTTTACATATTCTTCGATGTTTGAAAATTGTTTTAGAAGCATAACTATATACATATATAAAATGTGGTAACAATCTTAAATACAACATACAAGATCTTTAATTATTTCATTTTTAGTTTGTAGCCGCGACATTCTTGTCAGGATCGACCTATTGCTTTTAAATCATCAATCTACAATACAATTCCTGCAAAACTTAATCAATAAAATGCAGATAGGATCTAACGGTGTGCTGATGGAGTTTACAGTCTTTGCGCAATCCAGTGTGTACAATAGATGGGGACTTAATTCGTATGTGTGCTTATAGTATTTATGCCGTTTATTTAGTTATTTTCATTAATTAGAATAATGTTTTGTAAGGTGAAAAGGTATATAATTTAGTCAAATATTACCTTGTTTTACTCCTTATTGGGCACATTTGTAACATTCACATATATGAAAAAAAACCTTTTACATCCGCTTTTGAACGACATTTGTAACATGTATAATGATATGACTATGTCTTACCCTTGTTTTGGCAACATTTATAATATGTTTATAAAAAAAAATGACTTATCCAGTTTTTGGACAACAATTAATAAATGCACATGAACATATAATTCATATATTATTAGTTTTTGGAACAATTATAGCAACGTTTGTTTAATATATTTTAAAGGTACACCACTAAAAGTAATCTTATATCCGCAATCGGTAACCAGTACCATCTGTTTAAGGCTCCAAGTCCGGACATATATGCACCAGTTTATAGCCTATACATGCAAGGAACCCGGGGGATTGGTGAACGTATTAACGTCCCGGATGTAGCTTTAATCATCACTGGTCCTTTTGGAATTAGCAACTATAATGTCAAATCTATGGCGGATAGAACAAATGATTATATACCTATAACTACCATTGGAGTTGGCAATGTCAACACACAGATGCTTGGATCTATCGCCAAAAACAGTGCCCATGCTTTGACTGTCGGAAAGGAATCCGACCTAGTTGACAATGCTTTTGTTGACAAAGTTTTGAACCTTCTTTGTTCATAATAATTGTAAATACATTTTAAGCAAAAAAAAAATGTATGAATAGAATGTAAAGTTTTGAAAATTAAAAATAAAATAGGATGAAACGGAATAAAGCGATATATAAAACAGCTTCAGTTGAGTCTTACTTAAATCAGCTATAAAAACTTCATAAATGTTGGCATATTTTACCTCTTTTTAATTTCATTTGGATAAAAAAACACTAATACAATTCCTTTACTAATTAATGCTCCGCGCCATTTGTATTTACTCTTTTTTGTCCCTTCGATTTACGGCTAAAAATAAATTCGGAATCAAGAACTCCTTTCGATTTCTATTATGTAAAGTCATAGATTGGTTTCCCCTTCGGTGATTCGCAGCATGTCATATTAATGAATGAAAACTGGAACACCTTGTACATTAATTCGAAAGCTATAAATAGCAATATGACTTTATCATTGTGAAAGTTCGAAAATATATTTATAGAAGTAGTTTAAGTCTTAACGAAATGGTCATTCGTGTCGCCCTATGATAATAAATATGACAATGGAGAATTTTGCAGGAAGAGAAATGCAAACATATTCACAATAAATTGCGCTCTTTATCGATAAAAAATAAGAAGGTCATTTTTTACGAATAGTTATATCACAATATTATGATTTTGAAAGTGTCTTTTCCGTAGGTTCTTTCCGGTATATAGCTCCTTTTTTACGGCCCTGATTGCTCTTCTGACATTTTTACTGGGAATATTTAAATCTACCCTTATTTCTCGAAATTTTTCTGTAGGAAGTTGATTCTATTTTGTTTGAAGGCAATCGGTTTTATGGTGGTTTTGAGTGGAATGTTGTTTTTTTTGCCGAATACTGTGACATATTAACAACAGAAACGTTCGTGAGGTGTTATGTTTTTTAGGAATATAAACACAGAGGGTTTTGAAGCAATACAACAAAATGGTATATTTATCTCTCAATAAATCAATTAATAATAGCTCTTTATGTATCGCCAATGTTCATGAGCTTTTATATCTTTGACTGGCACGAACATGATGTTAGTGAATTTCCTCATACCGGTCTAAAATTCAGGTAACAGTTATTAATAATGTATCACCATATAACGTGTATAACAAACAAAAATTTCTCAATTTGGTCTTTTTATTCTACTTTCAGTATTAACCTGGGACTTGAAATCTTAAATCCCAGGTATTAAAAGAAACCTTTTTTTTAATTTGACATGAAAAATTATGTATGTAATATTACTATATTAGTCCCTTTTGTTACTATTTGTATATTTGTAACATTTATAATAATGAATGATAAAACAGTCTTTGTTAATTTTGACTATTGTTTTGTATGTTCAAAAGAAAAAACATTCAATATTCTAATCTCTAGCAAAACACCAAAGTTTATGATGAACAATGTCTTTTGTCCTACCATTTATCTACGATATACAATTCTGGTAAAATCCTATTAACCACTGAACACTTTATAAGAATATCTAGTCATCAGATGTCTACTAGTTCATCGTCATTTGCTGCATTTCTTGCTTGAACGCCCTTTGATGCTTTGCATCAATGCTCTTCTTGTTATATCATGATAAACCATTTGTCTCGAAACATGCTTAGGACATTTTGAGAAGTATAGTCCAAGAAAGTTTTTTTTTTGGCTGATTTACATATGGATTTTTATATTTCTTATTGCTCCTCGCCTGTGGGCGCGGAGCTATTTGTGTTAACTATTTTTTTTGTCCATTGGCCCAGATTTTATCAATTAGTCCCTTCGATTTACAGCTAAAAATAAATTCGGATTTAATAACTCCTTTCGATTATTATATTGGTTCCTCCTTCGGTGATTCGCAGCGTTTCATATTAATGAATGAGAACCGGAAAGCAGTTCTTCTGTACATGAATTTGAAAGCTATAAATAGCTATAAATGTTCTGATTTTTGACACTTAGGTTATAAATTTCTTATTTCCCTTTTTAAGTAGTACATGAAATTATAATTTGTTACATTTTGAATTACATTTACACATAGCATATCAAGTATACTATTTGTGATTGAATTTGTCAATATAAAGAAGATTTCAGGCAAAAGACTTTAATAATTTTGCTTTTGATAATTATTCTTAATTTATATTTATGTAACTAAATGTTTAATAATAACATGTTGATATATTGGTTGTTTTGAAATAATTATAACTTTAGTACATAAAGTTACATTTCATTGTTATTATTGGCTGCTCGCCCATATGGTCTCTTTCCGGTGGCGAGGGTAAACAAACACAAACACACACATTATTAGTGGTAATGCACGGACACTTTGTGCTTCAAAATTAACTCTTTAAGGTTGACATGTCCGTGGTCCATACTGACAGCTAAAGCTGCATTTTATGACCGTACGGACGGATGGAACCTCATTATGCATAGACTATAAATAGATAGATCGCATCATTGGTAACATATGAGGTGTATTGTTTATAGTCCCCTACCCGTTTACCGGAGGGGACTTTAAGTTTCCCTCCGTCAGTCAACAATACTGAATATCGCGATAACGCAAAAGGTAATGAAAATATTTTTATGAAACTTGATATATGGATAGATGGCAGTATGGAGATTATGCACGTCTTTTTCTATTTTCCCTGTGTTGAAAATTCTGATTTCTATGGCAACAAATAGACTGATCAAAGTGCTGCAGCACTGAATGCGACGGACATGCAACCGGAGAGACATTAAGACTTTTTTGAGAAAAAAACAACAAAAGGTATAACAGAGAAAATGTGTTCCATACAAGTTCGAGATTTATGTGTTCCAATCTGATATTATTCAGATTTTCTACTTTCAAGCAGAACAAGTCCAAATTTTTAGATAAAGAATGAAATTTATGCCTTAAAAACTCTGATTAAACTTGTAAATCAGTGTCCTTATCGATTTATTCCAAGAAATGATATGTAAATAGAAAAAAAAACTGTCAACGAAATATTTCTAAAATATAACTGTGCAAATAAACTTCAAGAATAATACATAATACATGTGAGAAAGTTAATTAGAATTGCTTCGTGTGATATCATAGTGAGCATATAGACAATAAAATATAAGTCATTTATATTTTTATTTCTCTTGGATATGTCTCATTAAACATATTTTTGGTTAAAATCATCAGCAATTAATGGTGTATTTTTTTAGAATTTATTTTTCATTTACAAGAGGCCAGAGCACATCGTTTTAATTTTAATTTAAATGTCACTTAAGCACTACAGTGTTTAGTTGTCCCTTTCAATTTTACACTAAATTCCATTTTCAACTTGTTTGCTTCTTACAATAGAATTTCTTAAAGTATTTCATGTAAACAAAGTAAGTATCCGCTGGTTTATTACATGTATAATGTGTACTCCGAAAGTCAGCACATGTGATGCAGAATCTATTTTTAGAATAGTGTTGTCATAGCAGGTTAACTCATATCGTGACCTAGAAAATTATGTAAACAAAACACAAGAATCGGAAGTAGAACTGATATTATAACTTCCTTCAAGAAAGATTACCATGAAAGATAACCATGAAAGACTACGCGGTGGTAAAGTGTTGATCCCATGCATTTTCAAAAATAGATATTTACAATACTAACCATTGTACTATAGTCTAATTTATTAATAACTGCTGCATATTCAGCTAAATCCGCGGTATGAGTCACGGAAAGAGTTCTTCTTCATAATGCGCGAGTTATTCTAGTGTCACGAAAAACTTTTGATCTGTTAATCAAAACTGTTTAATGGAGAAATATTTATTTCCTACTAATATTTTTTATGAATTATTGAGCTTACTCCTTAATTATAGCATAATTTGCTGTCCTACTTTTTCGACAGCGGTAAATCGTTTCAGCAGTTATTTGCATATTGTGCAATAATACTACGGGGGCTACAACGATTTTATCAATCAAATACGTTCATATTTTATCTTGGATAACTTAATTCGAAATTGAAAAGGCTAAATATGGAAGTTTTTAAGATATCCCGACAAAGTATGGGAGTTTCATAGGATCAAATTCATGTACTATTTCTTGGGCTATTATTCGGTTGAGGACACCTGCGCGATTGTAACCGACGAAATCCCATGTGTAGATGACGGCAAATTTTACACATAACCTGGATTCAGTGATAACGCAAAAATTACTTGTAATATTTTTATGAAACTTTAAATATGGGTAGATTGCATTCTGGAGATTATGCACATCCTTTTCTTTTCTTCCTATGTTGAAAATTCTGGTTGCTATGGCAACAAATAGACTGAATTTCAAAATTTCTGATTCTAGTATTAACGTTTTTTTTCACTATAAGTTCTTTATTTCTTAAGGTATTTTCTTCAAACTTTAAATATAATTCTAGTCATCAACCACATCATATGTGACAAGGTTTACAACTCTAGCACAAAATTTATCAGAATTTTCTCCCTTGAACTTAGAATTTTCATAATTTTCTTCTTTTTTAAAAAATAATTTCTTTATTGTATCTACTTCAAACTTCATATATATGTTTCTTATTATCACTCAACATTTGTGAGAAAGTTCAATACTGTAGTAATACCATTTTCAGAATTATGCCCCTTTTGAACTTAGACTTTTTCACCAATGCAAGTAGCTTTTATATCTTTGACTCGCATAGTGAATTTCCTCATAACTCCCTAAAATTCAGGTAACATTCTTCTATCAGTATTGAAAGAAACCATATTTTTTTAATTTGACATGAAACAATGCATGTAATATTACTATATTATAATATTAGTCCCTTTTGTTACTATTTGTATATTTTTTACAATTATGATATTAAAAAAATAGGCTTTGATATTTTTATCATCTTATGTTACTGACTACAGTAGTGACACAAATAGAACACAGTACAGTCATGTCGCATAACATTTACAAGTCTTGTAAGTCTTGTTTGTATTCAATGGAATTACTTTCCTTACCAGGTAGGCATCAGTGAAAGCATTTTTTCAAATTAAATATCTGGCCTCTTTTTAATTATGGACAGTGCATAGGATAAGTATAATTATGCAAAAAATGATTTACAAAACATTCGGAAAAAATCTAAAATAGTACTTAATCTGAATATAACAT